GGCTTAGTTTGGGATTATTGTAGCTTCTTAAATAATTGGTGTCAGCTGTGCTTTTAAAAATTAGCTTTAATATGAAGTAAATTATTGTTTGGTAAATCTTAGTTTTGAAAATAAAAATGTAGGTCATAGTATTTGGTAAATTAATATTAAATTGTTACGATTTAGCTATAATGACCAAATCAATCATACATTATTGTGTTGATATTTAATCTTCAAAATCTTTTATAAGATAATTATTCAAAATTTTATATGTAAATTACAGATTATATTTTGTTTATTTTAAATTATTTGATTGTTTCAGAAAAATATTTTAAATCATTTGACAGAAGATTAAGGTAAAAACAATTGTATCAAACAAAATGTTAAAAAAATTTAAGTACAAAGAAGTAAGATAAGAATGTTAAATTAAATAAGATGGTAGAAGCAACAAATTATTTTTTTATAAAAAATTGATGAGATAAATAGAATAATAATATTTAAAAGCCTGTTGGTAAATACACCTGATTCTTAGGAAAGTAAATTTCAAAAGTGGCTCTTAACTGGATTTAAAATATCAACAAAAAATGATTCTATTTAAATTATGAAACGATCATTTTTACCAAATACCAAAAACAGTTAAAATTATTCAACAATCACTTCTAAGGCCTGAAAAATCAATTCTAAACGGAGCCATAGGGTCAAATTGAAATTTTTGAAGTCTCGAATCAATAAATATCCTCATAAGTGACTAATATTCTTTTTCCTTCTTTTCATGGTAACCTTCTTGGAATGAAGTATTTAGTAGTTGGTGATGTAGTGTAGTAGTCTCTACTAGGATAATCTAGATCTGGTTTAGCGTTTCTCCAGCAACACTAGTATATTTGTGTACTGTGCCTCCTGGCTCTCTGTCAATTTGGTGTGGACTTCATAGTCCATTCCATGTTTTCATGTCCTAATACTCCATTTACTATCCATATTTGAATTTAGAAAAAAAAAAGAGGAAGAAGACTTAATAAACTGGTAGGTGCCATGTTTATGATGTCTTAGTACAATATACTGGCATACTTATTAGTGGTTAGATTAAAATCAAGAAACTCTGGAATGTATCAGTCATATACAAGAAGATTTCGCTTTGGCTTTGTTAGTCCTGGCTTTTTTTTTGACATCTTTAGTTGGGCTATCTTTTTAGACCCTTTTGTAATATTTTCATTTCTTCTCAATGAAAGCTTGGTCTTCTATATATATATATATATATATTCTTTTTTTTTCCTTTGTGTGCGTCAGAATATACTGCTGCTGTTTGATCTTTCCTTCAATTTTCTAACTCGATAAAATTTACTTATAGTTACTTGACACTGGATTCTTCCATGCCGATCCTCATCCTGGGAATTTGATTCGCACTCCAGATGGAAAGTTAGCCATACTTGACTTCGGTAACAAACTAAAGAACACAAAAAGACTTATTTATTTTCTTGTTAAAAAAGACTTATTTATTTAATACATATAAAGTTCAGTATACATGTGCTCTTCCAATCAACTGCAACTTAGATATCTCAGCATCGTTTTATGCACCTCCTTCGTGTATGAAATATATCTGATAATTAGTTTCTTTATCATGAACATTTTCATGGTTCTGAAGTGACTTGATTCTTATTTGCTGTTTCAGGTTTAGTTACAAAATTAACTGATGATCAGAAGTATGGAATGATTGAAGCAATTGCACATCTCATTCATCGAGATTATTCAGCTATAGTCAAAGACTTTGTTAAGCTAGGCTTTATCCCAGAGGGTGTTAATTTGGAACCAATCTTGCCAGTTCTAGCAAAGGTTTTTGATCAGGCTCTTGAAGGTGGAGGTGCAAAAAATATCAACTTCCAGGAGCTGGCTTCAGATTTAGCTCAGATAACATTTGATTATCCATTCCGGATACCTCCATACTTTGCTCTTATAATTAGGGCGATTGGGGTTCTTGAAGGAATAGCTTTAGTGGGAAACCCTGATTTTGCCATTGTCGACGAGGCATATCCTTATATTGCACAGGTACTTTGTGTGTGTGTGTGTTGTTAATGATGATGATGCAAATTAGATATCTATTATCTTTTGTCCTACAGAAATAAATGTTGTGTGCTCATGGTAGTGGCGGTATTCTTTTGTGGTTGATCTACTATTAGATGACTTTTAGTAGTGGAATGCAAATATATCTATAACAAGGATAGAAGGGCTGTTTCATGGTGTACGTTTGTTGTTTTGCTGAAAATAGTGAAGCTGAAAGGATAACTGCATATTTTTCTTGCAGATGATGTTTTGGAACCTCCACTTTAAATGTTAATTAGGCTTTTTCCATACATACAATGAGTTTCAGTGCCTCTGCACTTGGAGAAAAGGTCTATTTTCAAGGATGCTGTAATAAATTTTGTGCGTAAAAATACAGTAGTTGTTGAAGATACCATTTGAAGTGGCCTTTTCGTCTTTATCTAGTTTGATTACAGGCTCATGGAAACTAGAAACATATTTGGACCACCATTATTAACCACTTGTTCCTAGCCAAAATATTTATGGCAAGGTCTTGACTGAACTCTTAACTCAATTCCATTTGGGTCTCTTTCTTCTCCTTTCTTTCAGAGACTTCTGACTGATGAGTCCCCAAGGTTGAGGAGTGCTTTACGATACACAATCTATGGGAAGTCTGGAGTATTTGATGCTGAGAGATTCATTGATGTTATGCAAGCCTTCGAGAATTTCATAACTGCTGCTAAAAGTGGTGGTGGAGAGGATCTAAATGGAGATATGGCTGAGCTTGGTGGTCTGAAAAGCCAAACAGCATCTGCCTTTCGGCCGTTTCCTCAATTTCTTCCCGCCCCCCGCGAATTCCAGCAAAAGCAACCAATTGAAACAAGGGCATCCTTAGCCTTTCTGCTGTCTGAGAGAGGGAACTTCTTTCGAGAATTTCTTCTTGACGAGGTATTCTCTAGAATCCTTTTCAATTAATTTAGATATCAGCTGACGTTTTTGGATTAAGTAGTGATTTATTCATCTTTAACATGGTATCAGAGCGGGAGGTTCTGTGTTCAAACTCATTCATTGTTGTTTCATTCCCATTTATAATGATTCCACTTGTTGGGTCTTGTGTAATTATCAAGTGAGAAATGAATTAAATTTACCCGGCCCATCATCTTAACCCAACTTTTGGGTTAAGTGGTAGTTTATTCATCCTTAACCTTGTTACTTTTTTTGGCCCTAGAAATGCTACTGCTGAAGTGTATTTTTCTATCCAATGTTTTGGGTCTAACAAGTAAACTGTCAGCCTATTTAGAAAACTAGACTTCTGAGCTTTACAGAGTTTTGCTTTGTCACTTTCCTATTTTGAGGTCTAAACAAGCAATGTCAACCTTTTTCTTGACAGTGAAAATGTTTCTATTTTACTATGCAGATTGTGAAGGGCATTGATGCAGTCACAAGGGAGCAGTTGGTACGTTTAATGTCAATCTTTGGACTTGGAAATGCTACACTAACACCAGTTTTTAATATGGTTCCTTCCATTGGACCATTCAAACCCGTCGCATTTCTACCCACAATAACAGAAGAAGACAGAGTCATACTAAATAATGTTCAAAAGATTCTCGAGTTCTTAACAGCGGGAAGTTCAATTTCAGCAACACCTAAGGAGGTACTTGAAAACTCGAGTCAAAAGTGAATAACATATAGTTAAAAGAGTTTTGATCTTTCTTTTAGCTGAGTGTATACTTAATGTTTTTCTTGTTCATCCTTGCGGGTACAAACAGGGTGCAGATGTTGTTCGAGTTTTTCAAGAGCTTCTTCCAGTTTTGCCCGGCATCTCAGCTACTGTTCTTCCTGAGGTGCTCAGTCGATTATCTTCCCGGGTATTTGCCCGGTTGATTCGTGATGCAATGTTGTGAGGAACTTGCACGATTCTACGGCTGCAAATCATATGAATTTACCACACATATTATAGATATATAGATATATCTGTATATATATAATATATATATATATATACAGGTGACTTACGTAGCCTAACCTGATCATCTTTCAGGCATTTTCAATGCTTAAATGCTTTGAGAAATTTTCTTTCTTTTTTATATTCCATGTACAGCGTTCACTAACATGAAATGTAGTTGGCACTTCTGTTGAAAGCCAAATACTATATATGATGAAATAGAAATTTATTTTGACAGAGTCACAAAGACACTGTTTTTTTTTTTTGATACACACAGAGACACTGTTTAATGCCTACTTAATCTGCTAACTTTTATTCCTAGGAGGATCCTCTTTAAAATTGCGTTATTTTTGGTGCTTGTAATTGTCAATGAAGCTCACTTCTGATCTTATTTGAAGGCCAAATGTCTACAGGTTTCGATGATAGTAATGTGGGGACAACTGAAACGAAATAAGGCTGAAAGGGCAGACAAACAGGGGAGACATATCAACAATTGACTAGGCATCAAATTATATGTACGAGTTTCTTGAAAATAGATTAAGACTGTTGAAAGAATCAGTTTTAAGTATATCCAAATTCTCTTGTGCCACTTTTTTTATGAAATAAGTCAAGTTTGTAGGTTTGGAAACTACACACAAAAAAGATACGTCAAGTATGTAGGTTCGAAAACTACACAGCTCAAGCTTCTCTCAGCATGCAAGAAGAAAAAGATGCTATTTTATATGGTCAGAAGATTCTACCCTTGGAGGTTAGAGATTTGTTTTCTTTTTTGAAATGGAGGTTAGAGATTACTTTTTCAAAAGATCAATAATCTTATAATATCTCTTTTCTCGAAACTTTATTATAAAACTTTTGAGTTTTTATCATTCTTACACTCCAAGTATATGAAAATTATGTTTCATCTAGACTTAGTAAATACACATGGTTCCATAAGCACACAGTTCAGTTGGTTCAAAATTTTTATTCATGAAAATCTTAATCAATGGAATTGGCAATCCACCCCCTGCTTTTCTGTACTTTATGTTTATGCATTCATCATCTACTAAAAACATGCACGTGAAGAAAGCAAAGCCAAAACAGCGTGGAGAAGGAAACGACAAAATGCCCATCTTGCTATTTGAAACGAACAAACAATCAATGACTTCACCCAATAAAATAGCCAACCAAAACCAAAAGATGACAAAAGGAAGCCCATTTTCTCTTGATTTCAGCCTTTCACCACACCAATAATCAGTGCTGCGCTAAAGCGAAAGAAAACAACTTGTAGTGGAGGCATGATCATGATTGTGCTTCCCCCTGTGTCAAAAGGAGGCCAAAAAACACCTCATTTCAGACTTTCCCCACTCTGTTTAAGTGCACAGCAAACTGTAATCATTATGATAAAAACTCCACATTACTTTTTGTGGGAAATCCCATTTCCAGCATGCCATCTGTTTGATCAAATGCCTGACTACTGCTCTGACCATATTCATCCACAGGGCTCCGACTCTGGTCATGGTTTCAGCGGATCGGACCAGCGAAGAGCGGCGTTACCTTGTTGATTGCACTCCTGGCGGCGTCGGCGGCGCGGAGCAGGTGCACCGCCGTAGTGTGCTCTTGCTATGCACCCTCCGGTAGCTTCAACAACAAAGGCGAAGGAAGCAAGACGAGCACTTTTTACAAGACGCGTTCTTTTGCAGAAAAGAGAGATGGGGTCGGGCAAAACTTCCGTAATCATGAACTACAAGATGGGAGTGGAAATGGGTCTAATGGGGTTCGTGTTGAATTCCCAAATCTCAAGAGCAATCTGAAGAAGAAGACAAACGAGGAGGAGGAGGAGGAGAAAATTTTCGCTACAGAAACAAGGAAAGTGAACTGGCCAGATGCCCATGGCAAAGATATTGCTCATATCCAAGAGTTTGAACCGAGGTATGGGTTTGTTTATGTCTGGATGATTGATTTGTCATAATATAATCATTAGCAAAAAATTGGAGATTTTTGGTCATAGACAGGAAATTTGAGGCCTAATGTAATGGGGCATAGCATGTTGGTAAGAGTTGGAATGTGGGGGCAGAAAATAGAAATATAATGGCCTGTCTTTTACGATTAAGCTTCATGTTGCATTTGAAAACCATAACTCATGATCAAAATCTGTCTCTGAGAATTAAAAACTTGTATGTGTCTGTGCTAATTCTGCAAGTTTCTGTATTTGGGTTCTGTAACAGTGTGTCAGGAGATGGGGAGCTTGAGGGAGTAAGAAACTCTTGTGTGTGCACAATTCAATAAAACAAGAAAAGAAAAAGGTATGTTTTCCTTTCCTTTCATGCATCTTTCTTTCAATAACGAGTGCAACCTGATGCAATGACTGAAGGAAGTGTCCCTCATGTTCTAGTTTGTCAAGCCATAACCTGACACAGAGATTTTAGGCCGTAGGATAGATGATACAAGGGCCATATTTAAAGCCTGAAGGTTCCAAAAGAAGGGAAATCGGCAACATTAAAATTACCTTCTGGGGAGGTCTGTTTGGTTGCTTCAAAGAATAATATGGCTATGGTCCTAACCAATAAGTACTACATTTTGCTTGTAGGGATACCGAGAAACTGATGTTATAACCTCCATTAAAGCCTTCTAAACAATACAAGAATTTTAAATGTATTCTACTCGAATAATTGGGATATGTTTGATTTGATATCATGTACATTTCGAGGGGCAAAGTTACTCTTTGGACACTATTATTTAAAAGGGTTATTCTCCTCGTTTAACAAACTGGGTAGAGAAATACTATGGATGCAGTTCTTTGACGAGTTCTTTCATTTGTTTGACTAACTGCCGTACAAAATTCATCTATCGAACGATCACCGGGTTGACCTAGTGGTCAATAAGGGCTAAATAATAAAGAGCTACAAGAAATGGGTTGAAACTATGGTTGTCACCTATCTAGGATTTAATTTCTTATGAATTACCTTGACAACTAAATGTAGTCATAGGATTAGATTGTTGTCCCGTGAGATTAGTTGAAGTGCGGGCAAGTTGGTCCACATATTAAAAAAAAAATTTCCAACTGTGGATGTATTTGGATTTAACCATCTGACATAATCCTACAACTTGTTTATAGTTTGAACTGATAGTACCTAAACATAGGTCGGATCCCTTTTTTCTCTTTTTTTTTTTTAGTACAACCACACATGGAGGTAGGAGTTTGAATTTTCGACCTTTTAATCGAGGATTTATGCATTAACTACATACTAATTGGATCTTTTAGATATTACTGTTTGTTCCATATAATGAGGTTGCTTTTTCTGATCCCAATACTATCTGCCTTTTCCTTATCTTGTCCCCTTGTTGGATCTCCCGCAACGATTCAATTAGCCATGATTTGATTCATGAGAAGGTTTTAAAATGAAACCAACTCTGACCCACTATACTACTATAGAATAGTTTTATTTCTCTCTCTTTTTTTCCTTTTTTCTCTCTCTTTAAAGTAAAATTACATATTTGGTCCCTATATTTTCACATATATGTCAATTTTGATTCTTGTACTTTAATTTATTAATTTCAATTGTCTCTACTGTTTTCTTTTAATACCTATTATAGTAACAAGGACCAGTAATATTAATAAATTAAAATGGCAGGATGAAATTGAAAAACCCTAAACCTTAAGTCTACCATTTTTACATTGTCTTGAGGTCCGTACATGACTCTAAAATATTCAACAGAAATAGGTTTTGTATATTTGCTTCACATTCCACATCTTTTGTTAAAGTTAGAATGTAACAAGAATCCAGCGAGCTATAACTTTTAAGAGTATAGCTTCTAAAAAAATCCCAAGATAACTAAAACACTCTTATGGCTACAGAAATGATTTTCATCGATACAATGAGGACGTTGACAGATATACGATCACAAAATGTTCAGAGGTTTTTCTATTCAACTCTATCCTTATATTTGTTGCTTCAGTCACACATATCTTCTCTTTTACTTCTAGAGCCTATAATTAATGAGTTTCAGGTGAATTCTTTTTACCTATACTATTGAGGTATCTATCTCTGATTAAAAAGTCATGAGTTTGAAAACAAATGTGATTGTTCATTGTGGTCCCTTGCAATAGCTCTCAGGAAATTGAACAATTTTATTCACTGATCCCAAGTTTTCTGGTGTTGTCTTTGGCTCGTCTCCTTCTGCGATACGCACTTGGTAGTTGCCCCAGGTTGAAAGATGATCTATTTTTAAAACTAATTGGCATTTGAATCTTATTTTTAAAACTATACATATTTGCAAATATTTTACAAAACGAAACATCAATTCACATCTACCTCGCTTTAATAAAATTGCTGAATCATCACCACGCTGGAGTGTCACGGCACAGTTTATTATTATTTTTTTTTAAAACGAAGTAGAATTTGAAATTAGAACTTCTTAAATATTATGTTAAATTACTATTTTATATATATTTTTCAAATGGTAACTATATAATATATATACAAAGTCCTCAAATATAATATAAAGTTCCAATCTAGATAAAGAAAGTCCCATCACCAATGGCAAACGGACCTCCAACGAAACGGAAAGCCCATTTAATCATAAGGCCCATGATTTGGGCCTCTAAAAAGCCACACTACGAAGCACCACAGTTTCAACAGTGAGCCCAGGCCCAAATCCAAACAACACTCCCCACTCGAGCCCTTCCCCTGTGGTCCTAAGCCCATCTTCATTGGACTTCTTCCTCATCTCATCCAAAATAAACAACACGCACGCGCTCGACATGTTCCCGTACTCCCTAAGCACGTGCCTCGATGACCTCAACTTATCGGGCCCAAGGCCCAATTTCGCCTCAATTTGGTCCAAAATCGCCGGCCCACCGGGATGCGCGATCCAAAAAACCGAGTTCCAATCCGAAAGACCCAACGGCCCAAAGGCCTCGACGAGAATTCTCTCGATGTTACTGGACACAAGCCCAGGAACGTCCTTGAGGAGGTGAAACGTAAGCCCAACTTCACGCAAATGGCCATCGATGGCCCCATCGCTATCGGGCAAAATCGTTTGGGCCGCAGAGATGATTTCGAATATGGGCCTCTCGAGCCCAGGAACTGGATCCGAGCCCGCAATGATCGCAGCGGCGCCGTCGCCGAACAGGGCTTGGCCGACGAGGCTGTCGAGATGGGAATCGCTCGGCCCGCGGAAGGTGACGGCGGTGATTTCGGAGCAGACGGCGAGAATCCGGGCGGAGCGGTTGTTTTCGGCGAGGTCTTTGAGGAGGCGGAGGACGGTGGCGCCGGCGAAGCAGCCCTGCTGGTACATCATGTAGCGCTTGACGGAGGGGCGGAGGCCGAGGAGCTTGGTGAGGCGGTAGTCGGCGCCAGGCATATCGACGCCGCTGCTGGTGCAGAAGATCAGGTGGGTGATGTCGGAGACCGGCCGGCCCCATTCCGCGACGGCGTTGACGGCGGCTTGTTTTCCGAGCTTCGGGACTTCGGCCACCGTAATGTTTTGTCTGGCGTCGAGAGACGGCGCTTCGAAAGCGCAGATTTTAGGGTTTTGTTTTAGGAGCTCTTCTGTTAAGTGCATATAGCGCTTCTGGATCGTTGATTTTTCACCTGTTTTTGTACACAGCCCCAGTTAGTTCACTTTACTCTATAATTAAAAATTCAATATTTTCTTTTACTTCTCACTTATTTATTTATTTTTAATATGAGTTAACAATACATGGGTGAGATTTGATCTTCCACATATATATATATAATTTGAAACTATAATGTTTTAAGCAGTTGAGATATGCTAAGTAGTAAAGCAAATATATTACGTGTAATATAATTTTTCTGTTTGACAAATACACAAATGACTTAGTTTGTATGAATAAAAGTTGCATAATATACAAACAAACATCACTCGAAAGGAATGATTGGCTTATGAGAATTTGAGTTTGTATAACTTAGGTTAAACTTTGTAATATATGCTTGCTAGGTGTGGAAGAGTGAGCCTTGGTCTATAGAGTCTTGTGGGAGAAGCTCTTAAATTAATCCTATGGTTCAAGGAGGCATTTTTTTTTACAGTTATTTAATATTCCAACTCCCTTAATTTCAAGATGGAGCGAAATTACATGTAATATGACGTGTTTCATGTAGTTTGAGTTTAGCGTGTGAAATTAGCAAACTCATAATTTTGGATAAAAAGCAAAATTTAAATATCACTAATAGCTTTGGACTTATAACTTCATACTCTAAAAACTTAAATGGTAAGTTAAGAGTTACGTGAAAACAAAAGAGAGAAGATGGTGGTATGTCTTACACATGCGTTCGAACTTCTGTTTGAGTTCAGTTTTATGTTCATTGTTCGTGATACGGAAGTAGTAATCAGGATACATGCTTTGTTGCAGACAGTTAGGTGGAACTGCTGTTCCTATAGCCATGATAGTTGTAGGCCCCTTCGCCTTTTGAGCCTTCAAAATCTCGTTCACCGCTGCCATCTTCTCTGCTGCTCCGATAGCCGGTGGCGGCGACATTGGTGGTGGAAGTGTGTTATTTCACAGTTTTATGGGGACAAAAGAGTTTGGTGTGAGATTTATACTTGTAGTACAGAGTTTTTGGTAGACTATGGCATGTGCTTCGCTCGTGACTTTTACATGTTGTGCTCTTCTAGAAGGTTTGTTTATTTTAGTTTGTATGGAGAGGCAAAGAGGCCAAAAAAAAACAATAATAATAATAATAATAATTGTGTAAAAGGGTGTGACCTATAAATATGAAGATTGGGTGGCAGACATAAAACTTGGATGATTTATTTTTTTATTTTTATTTTTTAAGGGAAACAAGTAAAAACCTTTGAGGTTTCTCAAAATGGGCTATTGGGCTGCAATGTTTGGTAATTGGCTCATAGACTAAATGAATAGACTCATAATGACGAATTTTGATTTGATTGGTAGCAATACAAATTTTCTTTTTCATTTTAATAAAGATCATAATTTGATATCATATATAAATTTCAAATTAAACAAATGTTTTTGTTGTTTCTTGATACAAACAACATGTGAGGTCAAGAATGACCTCACAATCGTTTGATCAGAAATATGTAAGTTGAACGAAACGGATCTGTAACCAAACTCTATTAGTTTCTTCAACACTTATATGTGATTTTTGAGCTTTTCAAACGATTTTTTTTTATTTTCAAATCTGTATTAGATCTTACTAATTGATTTATTTTTGTATTGCATGAGTGGGAGATTTTAGAGGGTATTATGTGCCCGAGCTATACTTCGATTTGGCATTTCATTTCTACATTTTATTAAAACAACATCAAAGCATTCCTATTATTTCATTTCGATTATTGGAAAGTAAACGGTTATGTGTTATAAGTGTAAACACAAATCATCTTTCTTGTTATTTCTTTATTTTTAATTGCATTATTATAACCTCTAAAAATTCAAATATGATAATTTTTTTTAAAGTTTTGGAACAAATTAAAAATGAAAAAATTTGTTTTTGTTGTGACAAAAATTTAATACATTTGTAAGAATGTTCTTAAAAAAATAGAAACAAGAAACAAGTCAGTTGTAAAATACTTAAATTTCTTAAGAAAATATGAAACGAGGAACAAGAAACGTTACCAAACGGGTCTTAAGATTTTAAATATGAACGGGCTTATAGCCCATTGTTCCTATAAAGGATAGGTGGGGCTGAAAGCCCATTGTCAACTAAAGCTCAATAAGATTTACTTTCCATTTTCTTTTGATGTTACTTTTGCATAAAATTTTAAAAAATAATCACATAATCGAGTATGTACTTATACAGTTTCTTTTCATTTGAAATTTTATTAACACCCTTATATTTAACCATCACACAATATTGTTATAGTTAAAAAAAAAAAAAAAAAATTAAACTGAAACTTTTGAAAAAGGCATAAAAAATCCTGTGCCATCTGTAACACTATTTACTTACTTTTCAATCTTCATTTTGACAGAAAAGCTAATAGAAGAATAATTTGGAAAGAAATGTAAAGTTTTAACAGTAAAAATATCAAAATGTTAAGAATTTTGAGATTATAACATTTTGAATATGTCATAACCCTATCAAAAATAAAAATTTTAAAAGTTTAGGAATATTATTAAAATCTATCCCAAAATTCAAGAGTATTTTGTATAATTTAACCGCTTTTAATAAATTACCGACCTAGACCTAGCCAACATTTTAAAGAATTCACTTATTAAATACAAAGTTTAATTTTCTAGTAGACCAAAAAAAAGTCTTATTTTTTTAAAAAATTAACTTTATACCTATTATAAACATTTTGAATATGTCATAACACAAAATTGAACTGTTGAAAGTTCATGATTTTAACCTTTATAATTTTGATCGAGAAAGAAATTATTATCAAATAGAAACCAAATATTTTCTCAGTTTTACTGAAACCTATTCCCAAGTGAAAGCTCAAACGCTTGAACAGATCAAATTGTTTTAGGACCTAACACGTTCATGAACAAATATATAATCACTTCAATTATTAACTAAAAAATTCACCAATTCATATGATCATAGGTCCTTAAACAACACTACGACCTTTGACACCATCGCTTCTGAGACATTATTGGGAGGAATAACAACATTTAGGTGTAGTGAAAAGTACATTACAGTCTTCTCTTATCGAGCATCCTTCGACATCAGATTCTGGTGCTCGACTTTTCGAGCATTGCACAACTCATCAACTGCATCGCCCCTCTCGAAAACAGCTGCTGCGCCCATTCCCGTCCCTGCATTTTAGTTGATACGATAACTTGTCAGCCTCAGCAGCAAATGACTGCAATTAACCTAAAAAAATGCATAAAAGTACCTATGCACATCGAAATAACTCCGAAGCGGCAGTCCTTGCCACGGCGCTTCATCTCGTGCAACAGAGTAGCGACACAGCGGGCACCTATAAAATTAACCAACCAAGTTAGTAAAACAAAAAGATGAAACTTGAGATATTGATAGACATCCCACAATATAGATGACCATCACAGTTGTTTCATTTAACCATGCTTGCTCCCTTGCAATACGTCCAGGTATATGATGCTGAAGTGTTAATCACACTCAATAATTAGAAAAAAAACAATAGACTTGTCTCATAACTATTTCGTTTTAAGTTTATAATGTTTCAAAAATATGTTGTTTCTTCCTAATCCTAATTTTTTGGTATGTTATCACATCTCTTCAAATCACATTTAAATTCTTAACTAAAGTTTAAGAAAAATAAGTTCTTTAAAAGTGGTCAAAACTTAAAGTACCTGTTGCACCCAATGGGTGCCCAATGGCCATTGCACCTCCATTAACGTTAACCTTCTCTGGATCAATTTCCAGCTTATTACGGCAGTACACAAATTGTGATGCGAATGCCTGCACAGTAGTTCATTTACAAAGTTTGAGCGTATTCAATTGTCTGAAACCCAGAAAACCCTCACAGTATAATACCTCGTTTATCTCAAAAAGGTCGATGTCATCAAGCTCAAGACCGGCAGCCTTGACTGCAGCTGGGATAGCAACAGCTGGACCTACACCCATGATGGCCGGATCGACACCAACAGCAGCAAAAGTCCTTGATTGGTTAAGAAAATGCAACTTTTAAGTACGGGAAATGTTCTTTCCGCAGGACTTGGCTGAGATTCTACTAAAAATGCAGAAATCCAAAGGCTCGATTTTCAATGTAAATACAACTTTCATTCAACAAATTGAATCACAATCAATAAGTACCATTTAGTCTTTTGTTTTGAAACAGAAGCAAGGAAATTCTCAAGAAAAGCCAACATGGAAATATGCCACTAACGCAAGGGGGAACCGGACATCAGAGAAAGCATAAACTCAGAAGATATGATGCGAGAAATACAAAACTCCCTCAGCCCTAAAAAGAGGTTAATGACAAGGAAGCACAAAAACGATGTCTTTGGCCTATAATTTCCGGAGGGAATGTCCGTACCTAAAGATGCCAAGAATGGGTAGTCCTTTTTGCATTGCTACACTTCTCTTCATGAGGAGCACGGCCCCAGCACCATCACTCACTTGACTAGAATTGCCTACAGAATTACAGGCAACAAAATATCAATTTAACATGTCAAACTAAGTTTACCAACATAATTTAAATTGCTATCTGATAGAATAAAACACCTGCAGTGGTGGTTCCATCTTTTTTAAATACAGGCTTCAGCTTTCCCAAATCTGCCAATGAGGCATTGGGCCGAATTCCATCATCAATAGAGATTGTAACAGGTTTCTCTTCACCAGTTTTAGGGTCAACGATCTGTTTGAATTAAACAAATACCAGGGCGCAAAAAGATGAATCAAATTCTTCCCAACATGTGCATGAGTGTAAAATGATGCCAAAACCATATTAATATTTTAAATACCTTTGTGCTCACAGGGATAATTTCATCTTTAAACCTACCAGAGGCAGTAGCAGCAGCAGCCTTTCTATGAGACTCAACCTGAGCACATAAATAAGAAAATCCTTACAGAAGGCCACTAAATAACATTAAAAGAAAAATGAGAAAACTATTTTAACATACTGCAGCCTGATCTTGTTGTTCTCTAGTGACACCAAAACGATGAGCAACATTCTCGGAGGTTATGCCCATGGGAAGCAGGCAATTCTTAGCTTGTTCAAAGATCTTTACCTGCCATGATTAAAGATAAATTGTAGCCACTATACACGAATAAAGAATAATTTCAAAGACACTTAATGAATTAGGAAATACAAAAATTGGGGAGGAGGGCGGGGTCAGGAATATACTTTTGGATTGACTGCTCCATCCCATGACATTGGATTGACAGTCATGGACTCCAAACCAGCACCAATGCCTGCACAAATAATTGCATAAATGTTAAGTTCTTGATGTCTATGGAACATTCTAAAACACAAAATAATTGCTATTTAATGATACTAGCAGTAGATTAACGTCTTACCAATATCGTAAAACCCCGCTCTAATAGCAGCAGCTACATCTGCAACAGCTTGCAACCCAGATGAGCATTGCCTATTGACAGTTCTCACGGGCACAGTTTCTGCACAGCACAATCACATGCCCAATAACAAATGAAAAACCAAGCGTCAAATGCTTGTAAACAATAATTGACAGGACAACATACCAGGGAAACCAGCATAAAATGCAGCCATCCTGCATTCGCTCGCTCTTTGGGACCCGGGTGCCAAAACACTACCCACGATAATGTCCCCAACTTCACTTGGGTCGAGATTGGTTTTGTCAATCAATGCCTGCACAAGACCAGCATAAGAGAAGTAATAAACTAAGCATGCCAAGTGTAAAGAAGAAAATCACTAAATAAGAAGAAAAACAAGTTGCATAAATTTCTGTGACAGTAAATCACTCCATAAACTTCAAAGACCAAAAAAACAAACCTTCAAAACAGGTGCAAGAAGATCATCGGCGTGAGTATCCTTGAAGCCACCACGTTTTGATTTGCAAAGAGCAGTCCGATACGCTCTATTGAAAATAATGTGCACAAATGTAGAATTGAAGTAAGTAGATATTTCAATCATTTCAAGTTCATCAGCTCAACCAATCCAAACAACGAAAACCCATGATTAAACTTGTAATTTGTGAAAATCAATAAATCAACCAGCGATAAGAAGCAACTTACGCGACGATCACCACGTCATCCCCAAAAACTGAACTCCTCTGATACGCAGCACTGTCCCCAGCTAAACACGCAGATGCCTAATTTAATTAAAGAGAAAACTCCATTAAAATCCTTAATTCAACCTCAAGAGCAATGACTCCTAAACATTCACCATTAATTGCATCATTACAGATCTCCGCACTTAACTAACACATCCAATCGATCAAATTCTAATATCCTAATTTGTTCTCCGCGACCATTTCTAAGGCATACTAGCAGATCCAAAACAAGCTAAACAACACAACAGAAGCACCAAATCGACAAATTACAGTCCATCATACCGATAACAAAGAATCATGAGCCGGAACGGAAGAAGATGGCCGGAGATGCTGCAGCAAAACCTTCTGCCTGTTGATTGCCTTCTCCATCTTTGCCCTTTCCTCTGGATTTTTACCTCAGACGGAGCGATCGAGAAGAAGAAAAATCGAAATCAATGATCTGTTGTTTCTGTAACCGTCTCTGGATATATAGATTTTAATAAATAGAAAAAAAAGTGATAATTAATAATAATAATTAATTAAAAGCGAGAGAAATGGATGAGATGAGTTTGAACAAAATTTGTTCGAGTCAGCAGCTAGCCAAGGAGACGGATGATTTTACTCTTTCTCTTTCCCCACTCTCACTCAGCGCGCGTGTATCTCAAATAACAAGTTACCTTTATTTTTTCCTCTCTCTATTTGGACAAAACTTATAAACGAGAAAAATAAGAAAATTATCTTTAAATTATTGAAATTTCAATAATGGTACACCACTACATTTGTAGAATTGTGTTGCAATTATGTTGTTATAATCAATGTTTTATACGTGGATCGGGATGAAATCATTTAATTTTATGAAAATATCGATAAAATATCTAAGTTGGATATTATTGAAAAAATAAAAATAAATAAAAAAATCAAAATAAATATTTGAATGACCAAATTAATCTTTTACTATTTTTAAATAAGTTAAAAATGAGTAATGTTAAAATTATGTTCATGTTAACATTATTTTGTTGATAATTTTTATATTTTACTGATTTTTTGCGATATTATGAAAATGTCGATTCACCCTTCATGTCGACGTCGAATCCACATATATGATAAAAATACCGACGTGTGGACCAAAATTTAATATCCTTGTTATAATTTAATTTGTTGAGGGTATAATGGTAAGAAATTTTGTTTTTCAAGAGTGGTCTTCGAACTTTTTGCTTTATAATCTATTTATAAAATTTAAGATAATTAAAATTTGTTCTTGGTACATTACTCTTTTACAAATTATTAAATTGTAATTTAAAAAGAGGTTAGGAATAAAATTAAAACGCTAAATATACCATATAGTCTATAATCTTTTAAAATTTTCAAATTTATCTCGAAATTCTTAATATATTAAAATTTCTTTTTAGATCATTTTCCTATCATTAAAAAAATGTCATTCTATTAAAATATTGTTAAATTTTATTCAAAAAGAGTTATCTTATGATTGAATTATTGTCATATGAATATATTTGACCGAGTGGGCTGTGAGCAGATAATTCGAATACTTTTTAACATATGAAACTCAACGGCCCAACAACAAAATTTATCTTCTAAGTGGTGTCCTATCTAAATATCTTAATAAAATAATAATATAATGACTTTTAATATGTTTTCTTATATAAAATGATTTAATTTGAGAATTTATAAAATATATAAGATCTTTAAAAAAAGAATTAAAGATTAAATTGAGAATTACCTAAAATAACAAGCACCATTTAGCGAAATAAAAAATACATTTATGATGACTTTTCAACGCAACTTATTTCAAAGGGGAGATGTTTGAAATGGACGCGAATGATGGAGCGCGTGGAGGTGACTGACGATGACGGGTATGGAGATGCGTGCCCGTATAGGATAAATCGGGTGGACATTACTGGTATTTTAGCTTTTATGAATGGATATTAATCACTAAGTATTAAATTTACCTCAACATCTCATATAATTTTATGGTATTAAAAAAAAATCAATTATCATGAACTATGGTTATAAATGTACATTTCCATCGATATATCCATGTTTCCATGGTTCAACATGGACATGAGGAGTAAATCCACATTTTCGTCATAGTATAAGAAAATCGACAAAATATGAAAAATATCAATAAAATGTCACTAATATATATAATATTAATATTAATTATTTTTAACTAATTTAGAAATAGAAAAATATTTATTTTGTTAATTTAAATATTTTTTAAGATTTTTTAATTTGTCTAACTTTTGCATAATATCCATTGATATTGACATTTTATTGATATTTCCATGAAATTGAGACCTCAACATTTCCATCGACTCGACGTTTAAAATCTTGTCATGAAGATAATATTAATATTAATAATTTTTTAAATTATTTAAAATAATAAAATGTAAAATGTTGTCAAGTTAGTATAATTCAGTGGTAATTGACGATTATTGGTAATTATACATAAGTATTTGGTGTTAAAATTGATTGTATAATCTAGTTGCTAAAATCAATTTTCTTTTTCAAAAAAATAAACAATTCAATTAAAGGTTCATAAATGTACTAAATTATAACTTTTGATCCTTGATTGGTACTATTTCTTTTTAACGTTAATTTGTTCTCCAAAAGTAGAAAATTTTCAAATTAAAAAAAAAATTAAATTTCAAGTCTTTAACTATTTTTCTAAAGAATAAAATAAGTTTTTCATGCTTCTTCTGGATAGGTAGGTTGAATTTAGACTCAGATAAGTATTGCATTTTTTTCATTTTATATTAAATTTTGATTATAAACCATAAAAGAAGGTAAAAATATGATGGAACTCACTAATTTGAACAAAAATCAATACTCTACAAAATTATGTTTCATTAACGTCGTGAGATCAACCCTTCAATAAATCTTTCGAAAATCATAAATTTCAACAAAAATTCATCTTTGTTGTACAATATATGAGTTTTATAATTGAATGCATGTGATAATATTTTTCTTTTAACGATTCAAATGAAAACCTATTAAGAAATCTATTTTTTAAACGAACTTTAAATAAAATTTAACTAAAAAAAATCTAACCAAATATTAAACAAATGGATTATAAAAAGATCGATTAAAAAGAACTTTAAATTAAATTTAACTAAAAAAAATATTAAAAACACACCAATAAAAAAAATAAATTTAACTAATTATTATTAAATATTTAAAATTTAAATCTATGGTACTTTGGATTCTACTATCGCGTTTCGAACAACTTTGGCTAAAATTCATATCCTACTTCATGTAGACTTGAGTTCTACGAATCAACCTAAACAGTTAGTTGCTTTTCAGGAATATTTATGGAAAGGTACCATTTGTACTTTGGATATTTGGTTAGTTAAAAAAAAACAAATTTATATTCCATCTTTATTAACTCTTGAAAAATTAATTACGAATGGAAAAAAATCTTAACTCAAATAATTAATTAAAATTTAATTATGGAAAAAATAAATTAAAAAAAAAAGTTGAAATTACAAAATGAAATGTTAAATATTCAATTGTTTAATTTATTATGAAAAATTGAATTTACATAATTATATAAGATTTGTCCGATCAAATCTCCGGCCAATATTGTATTAAATGCCCGAGATTTAATTGACAACCAGAAGAATAAGATGGGAGAGAAGGAAAAAAAAGGCCCAAGAAAAAAAATTTGGACCGGTGTGGATCCCAATCCTAGCACAAATCCGGATCGAGCTGGTATGGATACTGACCCGGTCCGAGATGTTGAATAGAAATATGAAAAGGTCAAAAATCTCAATTTTCCAAAGAAAATGCAGGTAGGGTATTTAAACGAGAAATTTGAATATATGACCCCTCTCATTAATCATTTTGGATTCATGACTCCCTTTTGAAAAAAATTAATTTGCAGTCTCCCTTCATTCCCAAATTACGTAAAGTTAAAGAGACAAAAGAACCAAGTTAACAGACAAAAGAACATATTGTTTCCTCGTAGGATTGAAAGTTTACTACCCGAAGAAAATTACAACCATTACTAAGCATTTGAGGAGTTTAGTTCGCTTGGCTTTAAACCACTAAACTCTTTAGTAAATGACTAACGGCAACGGTTAGATCGGGGTTGTTTTAGTCTACTCCCTTTGCTACGGTTGTGTTTTTTTTACCCTTTTTCGTAATTTTTAAATGTAAAATTACTCTAGTGATGAACAATTCCTCTTTTCTCATTCTTAAAAAAAAAAACAAATTTATATTCAATCTTTACTAACTTTTGAAAAATCAATTACGAATAGAAAAAAATCTAACTCAAATAATTAATTAAAATTTAATTATGAAAAAATAAATTAAAAAAAGTTGAAATTACAAATATATGAAATATGAAATTGTTTAATTTATTATGGAAAATCTAATTTACATAATTAGATAATATTTATCAAATTTAATTAAAAAAATCAAGATTAAATCTCCGGTCAATATTGTATTAAATCTCCGAGATTTAATTGACAACAAAAAGGCTAAGATTGGAGAGAAGGGAAAAAAAAGAGGTCCCAAGGAAAAAAAAATTGGACTGGTGTGGATTCCGATCGGGATAGCACAAATCTGGATTGGGATTGCAAAATTACAGACCGGGTCAGTATCCATACCAGCCCGGTTCGGATTTGTGCTATCCCGGTCCGGGATCACACCATTCCAGATTTTTTTTTTCTTCCTACCGGAAACGTATTATTCTCCCTCGCCTTCTTCTTTCCTCCCGGAAATATCTTCATAGGGAAGCAACATTTTCAATGGCTCTTTATTAGAGATTTTGTAGAACCGAAGAAACAGAAAATTTCCCATGTTCGTTTATTTATTCCTTGGTGGGAATATATTAGGAAGATTTTGTCAAAGTGTGGAAGTATTTTTTGAAGAGAGATTGGTAGGAGTATATTAGGAAGGTTTTATTAAGTTATGAGAGGATTTTTTAGGGAGAGATTGGTGGGAGGATATTAGGTATCAGAGAATTTTTTTATAGATTTATGTTGGTTGTCAAGAAGTTAGATTTTTGAGGTTTAAGAGGAGATATTGATGGGAGGATATTTTTGTAATTTTACCCGAACAAAAATTGAAAATGAGTAAAAAATGATAATGAAGGGGTCACAAATAAGGTTTAAAAATGGGTAAAAATCCGAATGCATAATAAAATTGGGTCAACCATCATAGGTGGCTCGAGGCTTGGGTAATTAGGAGGAATGTGTTCAAATCCCATGATGACCTGTGGAGTTTATCTATCGACAATATCAAATAATTAAAATATATTAAAAGTGTCGATTTGAGATGAACAATATAACCTTAGGCAAAGGTAGGAGGATTTCCTTCATGTAGACCAAAAAGCAGCATTTAAGTTAGCACGAAACAGAATTTGCTCCAATTTTTATATCACACAAAAGGGTTTTCTTCTTTATTTATGATGGGCTAATGCTAAAAGTTAATGGGTAAAGCCCATTCAGATCTGTGGGCCTAGAATAAAGATTGG